GGACCATAGCTCATGAACTTGGGGTGATGTCGGAGATGCTCAATCAACCACATTTGTAACAAAATATTGCACCCTTCGAAGAATTTTGCCCCGGACTTGCACAAAGTCAACGCCCGATAAATGTCTGATAGAATGATCGGGGCAAGAGTGTGATGTTCTTTGGTAGTGAGGACCTGTACAACCCTGGCTATGCAGGTATCAATTGTCCGCTTCTCATTTGGGAAGACCATAATTCCCAAAAACGCCATTATGAAGGCGAAGCAACGATGAATCTGCCATGTGTCTTTGTTCTGCTTGTTGTTAAGGCCCTTTTCATGCATTTCAAACCCATTTGGCTGCCCGAACCTAGAGTACAAGAAGTAGAAAGAACAACACCCTTCGTCTACGTTGGTCTTTCTAATTTGCTTACTGATGTTCAGAAGATCGAAGAATCGGTGTACAGAAAGAGCCCTTGGGAATATGAGCTCCTGGTTTCTCAAATCCCTGCCAAACCCGGAATATCCAGCTATCTCTTCTAAAGTGGGAGTTAGCTCAAAATCGGATAAGCGAAAGACATTATGAACGGGGTCCCAAAAAGTCACTAGTGCCTCAATCAAATCGTCCCGTGGTTTAATTTTCATAATATCTGTAAGGGCTCCCAAGTGCTTGGTGACCCATTTCTGACCATCTTCTCCTAAATCATACCACCACATCTGAAGCTGAAGTGGAGCCTCGTCTACAACTGTGAATGGTGTGTTCTGGACAGTGCTCATTTTGTACCTGTGGGTGGTTAAGGTTAGGGTTGACACTAGTCTCAAGAGACAGAACCAATGCACTCCTTTTGCAAAACAATATTTTTTTGTAAATAACTCAATTTTAAGAAAAATCAACGAGAAGGGGGGCTATTTTTGTAATTGTGACCAAAGAAAGGGTGGTTATTTTCGCAACTATGGCCGCTTCTTACTTTCAAGGATAGCTTTAGGGCCGGGGAAGGGCATTATGGTAAAAGTGATGCCTAATTGACAGACACGTCCGTTCTTGCGAGAACAGCCCTTCAACAATTTTGAAGATGTTCTAAGGCTATTCCGACAGGAACGATTTGGGATTAACCGAAGTTGGGTCTGCTTATTTGTTTTTTGATAAAAAAAACACTAGACACATTTCTTTCTCTTTTTTTAGTTATTTTATAAAAATGGGGCCGAACCCTATGAAGGTTGCCTACGTATCTCACATCCGGTGAGAATCAGACCCGCGTAGTTCATAGAAATTTCAGGAATAGGATGACACTTTATTTTTTTTCTTTTTTTTCTTTTTTTTTGGGGGTTAAATACTGAATTTTTCGAAAATCGGGTAAATTTTCTCCCTCATATTTTCTTCTTTCTGGTTTTCCCTCAATATTTTTATATTTTTATTTTATTTTAGAAACCGGTCAACATGCACAAGCCAAATCAAACATAATGCACAAGTAGCACATAAGATGCATCAGGATGGTCTTGTAATTTCGGGTACACCTGTCCTAGACGGACCCAACCCCTGTGTTGAGTCCCCAAAGTCAAATGCACATGATGCAAACAAACGTTCCTACTAGGGATCCGGCATGAGGCTATGTTATTCTAGGTTTAAATCATAAGGCTAGTGTTTTAGACCTGGCTTACCCAAGCAGACAGCTCGAGCCGAGGTGGGGGTAATGTACCGGGAGCACGAAAGTCTACCCGGCCTAGTTACTGACCCAGCCTCGTTCTAATTGGTATGACTTCTAACAGAAAAGTGGGCCACGCGCACGTGTACATCATAAATTCAGAAGACTCAGAAGGGAGGCGTAAGAAGACAATTTAATACAGTTCAAATAGTATCAAAGCGGTAAATAAGCAACAATTAGCACATTAGGCCCACAAATATCATATAATCAATAAAGGCAAGTATAAATCACATTACAAGCTCAAATTCTGAACCCTGAACCAAAAATTCTAGGTTCTTTTCCCCAGCAGAGTCGCTAGAGCTGTCACACCTCCTTTTCCCCTAGGGATAGGGAAGAAGAGAGTTTTTCTAATTTAAGTAACATTATTCGAAATAGGATTATTTATTTAATCAGAGTCGCCACTTGGAATAATTTATGGTGTCCCAAGCCACCAGTTTATTTTTAAATCCCAAATCAAGGAAGTTTTGACTCCGAATTATGGTCCGCGAATACAGAAGACCGGGTAAGGAATTCTGTTAACCCGGGGGAAGGTATGAGGCACTCCCGGATTTTGTAATTTTAGCACGGTCGCTTTTAATAATTATACTTGGCATAACCAATTCTGGATATTTTATGTTCTAGGGAACTTTGTGCACTTTCATCTTAAACCGCTTTTAATTTCTTGATTATTTGTAATTATGGAATTATCTTGAAACGAATCACGCGTACGTGTATTCATTTTGTTTGGTGTGTTATGAATCATGTCACGCGTACGTGTATACAATTAATAACACTTTATTATTTTTAAGATTGTTCTGTCAAAGTTGCGCGAATGCATACTTTGCCTTTAATTTTGGGAATCATAATTATGTCACGCGAACATATACATAATTATGATGATTCAATTAATTAAGAGTGCGCCTAAAGCATTCTAGCACATTAAACGCATGTAAAGCTCTTCTAGCTATTTTAAGAGTTATTTTTTTTTTCTAAACTAATTTGAGATTTATTGTAAATCCGAAATTATGGAATGAATATTATTATGGAGGAAATGTGTGATTTAACTATAAGGATTTACAGGTTATCAACACTTATAAAACCAATTATATCATAATTTGTCCTAACAATTAAAACTTGCTGCCAGCCAAATGTCGTGGGTAACTTGAACTTTCGAGGCCTGAATTATCCAATTCAACTAAGTGATTAATGGCCTTATAATGATGAAAAATCCAATAAGTATCTACATCCCCGTCAAGTTCATACTTAACTATAAAGAAAATTCAGCAAGTAAAGATACAAATATAGCTCAAACATTCACGTTTAAAGTAAATACATTTAACGCTACACAAACAGAATGTTAATGAAAGAAATATTTGCCCAAAATGCATGATATGTCCTCTTGTGATTATTACTAGGCTACCTTAGCAAGAACTAGAAGAGTAAAATATAATTAAATTCAAAAAAAAACCTACTCAATATTAGAAAAAATCAGATTAACGGACCTTCATTTTAGGTCCAAGCTAAACCTCATATGGTCCTACTCTCTTCATATCTATCCATTATACATCAAAAGATTTATTTTACTAATAAAAGAGTAAAATCACGGATACGGTATTACACAAATTAATTTTATGACTTATATTCCTAGTTAAACTAAGTAAGACAGTGAATTCAAAAGATCTTTAAAGTTATACATATAGAGAAATGTTATCTACTCAAATTTCAAAGATCTAAACTAAAGAAATGACTAAACTTAATAGCTGATACTTTGTTTTAAATTAAGGATAAACATCAACGAGAAAGACATGAAAGAAACTTTAATCCTAACACAAAGAAGATAGAGAATCAGTTAAACTAAAATAAACTAAAATTATACCTTCATTCACACATAGTTATGAAGAGTAAATAACCCAAGCATTCAAAAACTAAAACTAATTGAAGAAACAGACCTTTAGGCGAAAATTTGCTTGAAAATTAATCCAGCAAAATACAAAACTCAGCTACAGTAGAAACGATACTGGAACTTCAACAGAGAACCACAACCGGAACTTCAAAACTCAACCAAATTGTTCTTTTGAATCTTGCCTTGGTTACTACCCTTCTTTTTTCCAGATTTCTCCTCCTCATTAAATAATGTGTGTAAGGGTTATTTTATAGAGTCTATGTAAGACAGTGTCTGTGAGAAAGTGATCGTGTCCGTTACTTGCAGGGACTCTGTTTTTTGGGTTCTTCCAAATAAAGAGTGCAAGTGTGTGCTCTATCATGTGAGGAAGTTGGGGTGTGGGATGGATATGTGGGGGGAATACGTGAGAGAGTGGGTAATCGGGATGGGAGGAGGGAATCGTGGGGGTTAGTTGTGGATAGGAGACGTGAGAGAGAGGGAAGTTTAAAAACGTGCAAATGAGCTTCTTCTTTTTTTTTAATTTAAAAGATAATAAATCAGAGATTTTTTTTTGTTTTTTTTTTAATTTTAAAATGATAAATTAAATTATAAAGATAAGAAGATTAACCAACATTTTTTATAATATAGGAAAACTAAATATTTACACGTACTTTAAATGATACTAAGAAAATTCTATAGCTTACTTATTACAATTCTAATTAAAAGAAAACATATATATATATATATATATATATATATATGAATATTTTTGTATTTTTTTTTAATTCTTTTTTCAAATAAAACCTATTAAGAGTAAAATAAAAGTTTAAAATATCAAAATTAGACCTAAAAGAAATATTTACACTAAATAGTATAGAATTTGGGTGTGGTCAAAAATTAGGTATTCACGCTATCAATCTCTTGATTTTATCCCAAATTCTTGTTAGCCAAGTTTTCCTAGACTAAGTCTCTCTTTCCGAAGAAGAGACCAAGTCAATTAGGCATGAGATAATGTTTGCAACCATTAAATCTTCAACTAAAAGTAAGAACTAGGCTAGATAATCAACACCCAACCATAAACAAGCAATAAATCAAACACCCATTATGTTTACACACTAGGGTTGGGTCATAACCCTAGTTAGAAACCTAGCTACTCATAATGGGTATAGAAGAAAATAAAGAAGAAAAGATGATAAAACTCATATTGCAAGATTAAATGATAAAAATCCAATGTTAAATCACCAAAGTAAGGTAAAGTTTCTTAAAGAGGCAAGTAAAAACGGCTACAAGACTTTCAATCTTCAAATCATGACCTAATTTCGTGAAAGTAGTCTATTTATACAAAGCTAAAATTTTCAGACAAAATTGCCCTTTCGGAGGTTCTGCGGCCGCACAATTATATGTGCGATCCGCACTTCTCTTCAGATCTTGACAGGAGTTGACTATGCGGCTGAACAATTCTGTATTGTGGCCGCATCTCTCATGTTCTGCGGTCCGCACAATTCTGGGTGCGGCAGCACTGGGCTCTTCTGCGGACCGCACATTTCCTGAGTGCGGTCGCATAGCTGTTTCTGCGGCCGCACAATTATTGTGCGGTCCGCTTTTCTTCTTGAACTTGAAATGAAACTCTATGAACTTTGGATCTTACGTAGCTTCTGCGGCCGCACAATAATTGTGCGGTCCGCACTTTGCACTGTGGCTCTGTTGATTTTCCTTCACATTCTGCGGCCGCTGATTAAAATCTGCGGTCTGCACTTGAGCTTCTGTGCCTGATTTTTGTCCTTGTTCAGATCACTCCTTCTTGAGTTGGATTTCATCTTAGTAGCTCATTTTCTAATACTCCTGTAGGTAAGCATATTTCATCAGTTTTCGGGAATACAATTATACACCTTTGGACTAAAACGAAAGCTAAAAGGAGCTAATAAGTAGTCAAAATTCCCACTTATCAACTCCCCCAAACTTAAGTTTTTGCTTGTCCTCAAGCAAATAAGGTAATTCCCACCTCCACAAGATAAGAGTTATTCCAGCTAATCTAAGGTGAATCAAACACACATCAATTGGGACCAACAATTACCCACAACACTTATGAATTATCAACAAGGCAATGATTTGATGTTTTAAGCACAAATAGTTCTAATGTGATACTAGAGCATCAAGAGTTGACTTTACTCATCAAGGAAGTTCTCTCTTTCATGTAGGTCATTGTGAATCCCAAACTCCTCCTCCTGTATTCTCCGTTAGCATATCTCACTTAAGAATGTAGCACTCACTTTAAG